CTCGGCGACAGTATGAAATTGCTTTGGCGGTCCTTCTGCCATTTTCTTTCTCTTCATTGGGTTTTGTTGGTGTCAGATAGGGTTGTTTTGTCCTGTTTTTCCTGGGTCGGCATCTTGTGCAGTATACAGTGCAACCTCGATTCGGTGAACTATATGGGACCATCCCCAGTTCGTTGCGGTGAGGGATTCGTTGCAACAGGTGATGCTTCCAAGTGGTGTTTGCATTAGTGTCTTTTGTTTTTGTACACAATAAGATGCATTATCATATAATGTACTGTACCTATATGTTACTAGTCCACTAAAAATACTAATCATAGTTTTATTTACCTTTTTATTGGCGTTATATCCATCTTGGACATACCGCCCAATAGCTAAGTGAACAGTGTTTCGGATTCGTAGTCCTGAGGTTCCAAGTTTGATCCCTGGTGGAGGCGGAGACAAATGGGCAAAAAGAATTTCATCCTGATGTTCCTGTTACCTAGCAGTAAATAGGTACCTGGGAGTTAGTTGCTATGGTCTGCTTCTTGGGGGGTGTAACAAAAAGGAGGCCTGGTCGAAGACTGGGCCGTGGGGACGCTAAGCCTCGAAATCATCTCAAGATAACCAACATCTTGAATTCCTCTGGAGTTGTGAATTCTGCTCAGTAAATACATATTGTATACAGTTAGCACTGTATTGATTATGTAGTTCTGCTGTATGTTGAATACTACAATACAGTTTATGAAAACTATTGTACACTAAAATTACTACAAATTAAATTTTAACACTTTAACATTATGTACTTTAAATTTAATACGTTCTAACTGAACGCTCCACACACACAATGTTCTAGATGTTTGCATCGGCTTTGCTGGTGCTTGCTGGTGCTGTGTGGGTGTCAGCTGCTTAATGATTCTCTGGCAATTTTCCTGTTCTTAATATTATGCCTATTCTTAAATTTTTTCATCCAATCTTCACTAGCTCGAAAATCTGGAATGTTCATCTTTGAACATCAGTCACATCATCTTGGGTGGGCAGGGTGGGTGGATGGATTGGTGGCTGACTAGCAGGCGGGTGGGGGTGGATGGATTGGTGGCTGACTAGCAGGCAGGTGGGGGTGGATGGATTGGTGGCTGACTAGCAGGCTGGTGGGGGTGGATGGATTGGTGGCTGACTAGCAGGCAGGTGGGGGGATGGATGGTGGCTGATTGGGGGTGGCTGACTAGCAGGCAGGTGGGGGTGGATGGATTGGTGGCTGACTAGCAGGCAGGTGGGGGTGGATGGATTGGTGGCTGACTAGCAGGCAGGTGGGGGTGGATGGATTGGTGGCTGACTAGCAGGCAGGTGGGGGTGGATGGATTGGTGGCTGACTAGCAGGCGGGTGGGGGTGGATGGATTGGTGGCTGACTAGCAGGTGGGTGGATGGATAGATTGGTGGCTGATGGCTGGCATTTGATGTAGAGGTGGCTGACTTCTGGCAGGCAGGCAGGCAGGCAGGGTTAGCAGATGGGTGGATGGGTATATGGATGGATTGGTGGCTGGCAGGTAGGATGGGTGGGCAGGCAGGGGGTGGGTGGGTTTGTGGGTCTTAGTTCAGGCTGGCAGGGTGGGTGGGTGGGTGGGTGGGTCTTTGTTCAAGAAGTCAGGTGGGCAGGCAGGGTGGGTTTGTGGGTGGGCAGGCAGGGTGGGTTTGTGGGTGGGCAGGCAGGGTGGGTTTGTGGGTGGGCAGGCTGGGTGGGTTTGTGGGCGGGCAGGCTGGGTGGGTTTGTGGGCGGGCAGGCTGGGTGGGTCTTGGTTCAGGCAGGCAGGCAGGGTGGGTGGGCAGGCTGGGTAGGTTTGTGGGCATGTAGGCTGGTTGGGTTTGTGGGCATGTAGGCTGGTTGGGTTTGGGTGGGTCTTGGCTCAAACAAGGAGGCGGGTGGGCTGAGTGGTTGGGTTTTGTGCAGGCTACTGTATGAATACGAGGAACTAGGTCTATACACCCTACAGTTGGCTGGCGTTTACATCAGAGCCAGTAACGTAAATTTTTCTCAAATATTGGATTTACTGCACATCATACCTATATATTTTTGGGTTATATATTTTTTTTAACTGCCCTGAGACTTGGTCTTTGGACCAAGTCTTCTTTTTCTTTCTTTTCTGTTTGTGGTAGCCCCTTCGTTTTGTGATTGTTTTGGAAGGCAGTGTTTTTGTTGGCCTTGGCCTCTGGGGGTTGGGTTGGAGAGCTCCATGCTCTTCTCCGGCACCGGTGGTTTTGTTCCTTTTGGTCTTGGTAGTGGTTTTATTTGTTTGCAGTCATTTCCTTCTTTTCTGGCATAGACTGAGATGGCGGGCTTCCAAAGGGGTCCATTGGTTGTGGATGCTTGGTTGGTTAGACCGCAGGTGCATCATGTTCTGTGTGGGGTAGCTGCTTTATGTCGCTACCTGCAGGCCACCGGTTCTGTAATGGCGGACGCACTCTAGGTTGATTCGGTTTCCCTGGTTCCCTGTTCCAGGGATCGTATTTCTCGGGTTGATCGCAGTGTTATCAAGTCTAGCTAACCTGTGGTCTACCCTCGTGCCCATGGTGTTAAGGAATATGCCACTCTTGGGGGCTGTCTCTAGTAATATATCTTGTGACGATATTTGGGTGCAGTGGTTTTGAGGGTCGAACAGGGTCCTGGCGGCCAGGTATCTTGTGAACGTCCCAGTTCCTGTGCAGCCTTGTGTGGCTTTGGGGTGCCTTTCACGGCTGTCTGTTTTTTCCGCACTTTGAGGCCTGTGATGCTGCTGCCTTCCTGGTGAGTCCCTTTTTGTCTTTTCTGTGGGTAGTTAGTTTCAGGGAGCCGACTGGGCTCCCTACAGAAGACCAGTATTAAATATAATTGAAACGCCAGTTTCTGGGTGAGCCCTGTAGGCTCCCTGATCACCTCCCTCTGTTTGGTCGGTGGCTTTCATCATTAAAGAACTGAATTGGTGGGTTGCCGGCTTACCTGGGCCAGCTTCCCCCTTTCCCTGTAGAGGGGGAGGGTAGCGCTAATGAGCGGGGGCTAGTTGGATGAAGTGTTGCTTGTTTGTTTTCTTTTTGGAGGAGTTCTTTTGCTTTTTTTGTGGGACATAGCTCGCAATTTTCTACCTGACAGTGGTCTGTTTTGATTCGCCTACTTTTATGGGTCTTTTCCTGGTCGATGGCAAAATATGACAGTTTAAATGTAAAGTGCTCATAGGCCATTGCTCCCTGGGCAATGGCCAGGGAGAACCTAAGGGGGCCAGGTTCTGGCTCGTGGCCCATGGTAGGCATACAAAAAACTCTGCGACTGATGACACTAGAGTAGTATGGCACTTGACCAGTAAGATAGCTTCAGGGAACCAATCGGGTTCACCCAGGCACTGCTGTTTCATTACATTCGCTGCTGGTCCCCCCCCCCCCCCCCCCCAAGTCCAGCTGTTGCTCTGGGTCGGGTCCTACAGGGAATCCTTCTTATTTCTTGTTAGCTGGGTCAGTCGGGCACCTTGGTTTCAGGCACTGCTTGTTTGGTGTCTGAACCCAGGTTTTTTCACGGCTTTTCCTCTATCAGAGGGTCGGCTTGGTGATGTCCTACACTGGTATTTGACCTCTTCTCTTCGCGTCTGGATTTTTTATGCGTATTTATCACCTTCTCTATGGGGATTCTTTGTGGGCTTATGCTGTCTCCTTGGTCTTCTGTTCCAAGGCTTGCCAATCTCAGGTTGTCAACAGTGTCATTAAGTCTAGCCAGCATGCAGTCCACCCTTGTGCCGATAAATATCGGAAATGCGCCACTCTTTCAGCTATCTTTGCAACTATGTCCTGTTCTGATATTTGGGCGCTGAAATTTTGGGGTGAAACATGGTTCCTGGCCTGGTCGGGTTGGGTCGGGTCGGGTCGCGTGAGGTTTGGCCTTGTGTCTTGTTGTGTGAGGTTTGGCCTTGTCGTGTCGTGTGAGGTTTGGCCTTGTCGTGTCGTGTGAGATTTGGCCTTGTCGTGTCGTGTGAGGTTTGGCCTTGTCGTGTCGTGTGAGGTTTGGCCTTGTCGTGTCGTGTGAGGTTTGGCCTTGTCGTGTCGTGTGAGGTTTGGCCTTGTCGTGTCGTGTGAGGTTTGGCCTTGTCGTGTCGTGTGAGGTTTGGCCTGGCCTGGCCTGGTCGGGTTGGGTCGGGTCGCGTGAGGTTTGGCCGGGTCAGGTCAGGCCAGGCCAGGTCAGGCCAGGCCAGGTCAGGTTTGGTCTGGTCAGGGCTGAAGAGGTTAGAAAATATTAAGTTTGGCAAGCTGAAAAGTTTTTTCTTTGTTTACGTATTGCGTGTAAATAATATGCTTAGTAGATTAGTAGTGGATATTCATCCAACACTTGTGTAATTAATCATAGATCAATTACATTTAGAGTTAAATATAAAATATTTATATTTAACCCTAAATATAAGTATTACCCCAGTTATAAACTTCAGACTTTGGATGATTATTATAATAATAAGTTATTATTATTAATAATTTTTTTTTTTTTAACTTTAAGAAACTTCAACATATGTCCATAAAATGAGAGGGGGTGTGAGGTATAGTTGGAAATACTGAGCAAGTTAAAGTAAAAGCTGCGCCATACTGTATTGTTTGAACCTAGGGATTGACGGATGGATGATAGGATTGCCAGGTAAATGTGAGAGTTGAAGTAGGGAGTTTGGAACTAACATTCTCAAGAAGGAAATTTGGAAATGTGTGTCGGGTTCCTTCGAGATATTTTGGGAATAAAGCTGGTTACAAGAGGTGGGCTTTGAAGTACTTGGATGATGGTTTCTATCTTCTCTATACCCCACAAATGCAATTTTCAAGGGGGGAGGGGAGGAGGAAAGGGAGGGGACGAGGAAAGGAGGGGACGAGGAGGAGAAGGTGGGGAGGGGAGAGGAGAGGGGGAGGGCGTGAGGAGGAGAGGGGGGAGGATGTGGGGATGTAGGTTAATAGATGAGTTTGTAGTAGTTCACTGGAGTGTGGCGAGGATCGTCCATCGTTGTAATTATTTATTCTATATTTGCAGGTTGCCTGTGGTGCTGAATTCAGCATGATTATTGACAAGAAAGGTTACCTTTATTCCTTTGGCTTACCAGAATATGGTCAGCTGGGCCACAACACTGATGGCAAGTTCTTCATTACCAGCAACAAATTGTCATATCAGCACGAGCGAGTACCGAGACGAGTCCCTATATTTGTGGAACGGAGCAAGGATGGCCATCCTACCCCAGTCACAGATGTGCAGATAGTAGATATCGCCTGTGGAAGCAACCACACAGTAAGTTCCCCCATTGTAAATGTTCCCCATTCCATTATAATGAAATACTGTAGGTTACATCTGCAAGCTGTGAATAGATTTTTGTCAACATCATCAATGTTATCCCCTTAATGGGATCAAAGATAACAAGAACAATATGCAAGAAAATGCAGAATAGAACCAGTGAAGAGCAGGGTGCGATAGGCACCCCTGAGGATATTTATACAGAGGAACCTCGTGTGACGAGCAGCCCCATCTATGAGTATTTCGGGTAACGAGTGAGCCACTTGCAGAAAATTTCTCGATTGACGAGTTTCCGCTCGTTAATCGAGAAAATCACGTGGCGCTTCCTAGCGTTCCCGTTAGTTCTCGCAAATTCTCAGACACCCCCAATGCCAGTGTTGATGTTATCGTTCAGGACAAGCATCCCTCTGCATTTATTTATGCTTTTCTTTGTTTTTTGGGGGGTTTTGTGACTACAAATTGTAACCCACAATGTCGCCAAAGAAAATGCTTGCTAAAGATAGTGTTGTCAAGAGGAAGAAAGACACAATTACTGTAGATTTGAAGAAGGAAATCACCTGACTCGGAGGTGGATTCTCGTTCCACACCGTAACCCCTCTCCTCCTCCCCACCTCCCCATCGTCTCCCTCAAGCCAGCAACGACTCTTCATAAGGTTAAGTACAATTGAAAACAGTAAAAAAAGTAATACAGTAATTACATTATAAACATTACATTAGCATTACATTAGCTGTGCCCGCCACGCGTTGCTGTGGTTCGGCAAAGCATGTGCATTGCTGAGCCACAGCAGCCTTTCCCTTTCTCCCAGTCCTCCCCACCATTCCCCCTCCCCTGTCCCTTTCTTCTCCCCACCATCTCCCACTCCCCTGTCCCCCCCCTACCATTCCTTGTCCCCTCGTCCTCCCCACCATTCCCCCCTCCCCTGTCCCCTTTTCCTCCCCACCATTCCCCCCTCCCCTGTCCCCTTGTCCTCCCCACCATTCTGTATTCTCTTGTCCTCTCGTCCCTACCATCCCCAACTCCCCCGTCCCCTTGTCCATCAGAAAATTAGGAACATCAAATGATCTGATGTTCCCATCATTGAAATATAAGAAAAAGTTAAAAAAAAAAACAAAATGAAAAACAATTAAAAAATAAAACAAAAATCTATACTCACGAAATGAACGGTATGGTAAACATCACAGCTCAATTCCAACGCAATGTCACAAACTAAATAAATCAAAATAAAAATAAAGCAAAATCTATGAAAATTCCATTTATCAATGCAATCAGAAACATTGAAATGGAATCGTAACATATTTAGTATAGCGTGTATTGCTCTTACATGCAACAGATGGCGCTGTTCAGGTTTGTCAACCCCAGAATTGTTCTACGTCGTTAATTTTGGTATCACTGCGATTGTAATAAAATACCATACACAGACATATGAATATAAAGTACAAAACATGGGCGCGCCCCACCTGCAAGACCGTGGGAAGTTGCCCAAGGGTTACCCGCTACTGCACCCAACTGCACACCTGCTACACCCCTACTGAAAAGTTTATACTCTTTTTCATGATTTTGACCGTAATTTTCGATGTATGTGTTTCATTTTGGTATCAATGTGTTCTCAATTAAATTTTCTAGAGGAACATATGTATAACATGTCACCAAAGCTAACGTGATGCCGGCACCAAATAAAAAACTAAGTTGTTTGTTAGCCATGCACTCCAAACAGCATGAATGTGTTGCTACTTGTTTCAGGTTTATAAAGTCCAAATTTGTTCGACATCGTTCTTTTTTGTATCACTGTGATCGCAATAAAATTTCCTACACAGACATAGGCATTTAAATTAGACAACATGGGGGACGCATAACCCGCAACGACCCCTAAAGTCACCAAAGCCTTACCTGCTGGAGCACACTCATTGCCACACCTGCTACACCCAATACACCAGATAAACACATGCAATTTGCTAACAGAAGTTTTTGTGCAACATTGTTCATTGTGGTATCAAATTATTCACAATAAAATGCCCTAAATAAAAAGACAAATATAAGCAATAACAACTGTAATATATATAAGCAATACCAATAGCAAAGTATAAAGACTAAAGTCGGCAAAGATACCCATGAGCACGCAAAATCAGTAAAATGTATATACTCGTTTCAGTTTTCTCATATTTCTCGTGCTACATCTTTCGTTTCGGTATCATTGTGTTTGCAATAGAATTCTCTATAGCGGTATATGCATATAAAGTCTAAAAGCCTGGAGTAACTTCCCACAGCAAAGCCTAAAGTCGGCCAAGTTACCCGTGAACAAGCACCAATTGGCACACCTGCAGACTAAGGTATATACTCGTTCAGTTTGATAACATAAATTTTCGTGCTATGTCATTCATTTTGTTATCAAATTGTTTGCAATAAAAAGGCGTGCATGTTAAAACTAGTCCCATAATAATAGACCAATAAATAGAATTTTAACAAATATTTTAACTTTGGACACTTTTTGATGCTCATCACCGCAAAATTATTTATATCTTTCCATTGTTCAGACATCAATTTTCATGTTACGTCTTTTATTTTGAAATCAAATTGTGAGCAATCTAAAGGCGCTCATTTTGAAACCACTCCCAGATTGATCAGTTAAAATTAAAATTTTTAACAAATATTTTAATGGAAGATGCGACGATTGTCATCCGTTCACAATACAGAGAGAAACGGATGACTACGCTCGCGACATCGGTGTGTGAAAGTGTTAAATTCGTTAATCGAGGTTCCTCTGTATTTATATTTATATATTCATTTATATACAACAATAAGACAATATTAAGGTGCAACAGAACAAGCAACTGCTTGAAGTTCTATCTTTGAAAATGTGCTTAGAAGATGACAAATTTTACTGTATGATTACAAATCGATCACAACCTCTGCATAACCCTGGCTGGCCGACATGGGTTTAGAGAAGGATGCTTCTGCTTCACAACTGCTTGATCATTATTCCTATATCATGCATGGACAGAGCCAAACTTTTAATATTGTATCATCCTTTGCAGATGACACTATGAGTGGAAACTGCAGAGGATGCAGCAAGCCTCCAAACTTGTGTAAACCAGATTTTTAAAATGGGCCACAGAAAACATGATTTTTGAGGAAGACAAGTTCAAGCTCATGTACTATCGTAAAAATAAATTAAAACAGGAACCACAAAATGCAGTCAAATCACACTATAGAAAGAAAACCGAAAAACTCGATGCCATAAGGCATGGCTCTTGTACCGCTACTTTTTCTTGTTCTCATATCTGATATAGACCAAAAATACAAGTCACAGCTTCGTTCCATCATTTGCAGACGATACAAAAATCAGCAACAAAGGTCAGCCTTCAATCAGGCAACAGAAAAAAAACACCATGATCATCATAGCTTCAACTGATCGATACAACCAGGGATATCTCGCTAATTATCAGCAGGTTGTGCGACATGGTCAGGGATGATTTAAAATAACATGTAAGATTTAAAACTCCCATGGGCACACAGGGGTCGCATCTGCTTCCATATTCCCCCAGTAAACAGATGCCATTTTGGAAAAAATCGTATGCACCCCCTCCTTGGTGTATTCCACACATTTTATTTCATAAATTTCTTTAATGACACCATATTGAATGATAATCCTGCAGAAGTGAAAAACAATTTGATGACATTGGAATAAATATGTATACGTATCGGGTGGGAAAATGATAGGGTGGATAATGAGACCCTTCAAATTCGGGGATTCCACTGCAGTGCTCTTACTATTCAAATCACTTGTGCTGTTCTGCCTTGAGTACTGCTTGGTACTCGCTTTTGCTTAAACTTTCCCTTTTTAGGCAGGAGAAATTTTTGAAATGGGGAATTCATAGAACATATATATGGTATGCAAAGGCACAGTAAATCATCAAAATTATTGGGACCATCTCGAAGCACTTAAAATGTACACTCTTGAAAGGAGACAGGAGAGGTATCACATACTATACACATGGAAGATACTTGAAGGCCATATCCCAAATATTTACAAAATAACAACCCACTGGAGCGAAATATATGGTAGGAAATGCAAATACAATTACACCCCCACAACAGAGCTACAACTATGACAGGCAACAACCCTGCAACAATCGGAATTTATCAGAACGAATTTGATCTGTGAAAAGTCTTCCAGTCAAATTACTTCAATTAGAGTAACCTCATTCATCTTTGCCAACGTAAAGTCCATCTTTGCCAACGTACAAGGACTAAAAACGAGCAAAACCCCAGTACCATTCATAAATGGTCTCCTCAATGAGTCAAATGCAGTATTTGGAGCTTTCACAGAAACCCATGCAGGGGATTTTTAGACAGGAAGATCTGGATACAAGAATATGATCTATTTAGATGTGATAGGGTAAATAGGTCACATGGAGGAGTAGGTATATATATTAGAGAAGACCTTGGATGCTCCGAGTTCCTTAACCCTTTAACTATTTAATTTTTTGTAAATAGTATCTTCATGGTAAATCTTCCAACTTTTCCTAATGGATCAACATTATACCATGAACAGAAATAAAAGTTAAAAATAAAATAGTAAAAATAAATAAATAAAAAAATTTCAGATTAGCTTTAAAAATATTGAAATGTCACCGAATGTTATTTTATTCATTGTGGTCTCAGAATGGCATATAACGTTCAGTTTCCTTGCTGCAAAATATTTTCTGGGGAGAGCCCCGTCGGCTCCCCGGAGCTATCCAGGCTGATATACTAATGTCAGACTTTGGCATCAGTCATGTGTATGGAGTTCTGTGGGCCTACCAGGGACCACATGCCAGAACCTGGCCCCCTCAGAGAGGCATGGGGAGCAATGGCCTATAGAAACCCCTGTGTGGTTGGAAGCTTTCTATGTCTGCCATTGACCGGGTCAGGCACCCAGAAAGGAAAGTGTCCCAAAACAAACCCCTATTTTGGTGAAAATTGCGACAAAAAGCCGAACAAGTGGATAGAACTCCCC